GTTCAATCCCTCCTCCTTTTACAAGGGAGGTGACCGAGAACAATAAAACTTAAGGAATTTACCCAGGATCACACAGCTAGTAATTGTTCCAGACTGGATATGAACCCAGCTAGGTAGCTCAGTGGATAGAGCTGGGCCTGGAATCAGGAAGACCTGAGTTCAAATCCAACCTTAGATACTTACTAGCTGTGCGACCCTAGGCAAGTCATTTAACCTCTGTTTGCCTTAACCCACTGGAGAAGGAAATGGGAAACCACTCCAGTATCTTTGCCAAGAAAACCCTGTAGACAGCCTTAGTGTATTATGGTCCATGGGTTTATGAAGAACCAGACACAATTGAATAACAACTTTTTGACTTTGTGTCCAGCACTCCATCCCCCGCCCCTTGTAGAAGATCAAACAAGATAATATATGCAAACGCTTTGCAAATCTTAAACTGCTATATAAATGCTGGCTATTGTTATTGTTATTATTATTATCCACCTCAATGTTCTATTGTTGAAAAGATGGTAATAACACATTATCTCAAAAAATATTACACCTGTTGATTAGTCAATATGAATAAAACAGTCTGATGATACTGAGATCATGTCTACTTATGTGGAATAGTTTCATTGCAGGCATCTTCTATTCAGATCATTGTGCACTCAATTTAGCCACAGAATTTGTAGAAGTCAGTATTTTGAGGAAGACTTAAAAAAATAACTATAAAGGTATCTTAAAAGATTTTAATTTTTTTCCTTTTTGAAAAAGTATCTGCCTTTTGTTTTTATACCATATCCCCTAAAGCACACCCCACCTCCCATCTTGATTAAACCTTTTCCTATAATGCAGAAGTGGATTTGAGCAAAGCTAACCAACCAACCACATCTGTAGTCCTGACCTCACTAAGGAGGAAGAAAATCTGCTTCCTTGTCATTTCTTCCAGGCCAACATCATTACAATTTGTTAGTTAGATTACCTTTTTTTTTTTTGGCCACTGTTATCATTTACATTATTGTGGTCATTGTACACATTGTTCTTTTGACTTTGCATTCTTCACTTCACTCTAGAATTCTTTCCATGTTTCTTCTAATTTCTCCTAATCATAATTTCTTATAGTACAAAAAATATTCTATTTGGACGTTCCCCAATTGAAGGACATCTATTTGGTTTCCCTTTCTTTGTTATCACAAAGTGTACTGCTGTTGATACTTTGGCATACATGGGAATTTTCAGTCAGTTACCTCCTTGGGGCATATGTTCAGTAGTGGGATTTCTGAGTCAAATACATTTGTTTTCCAGGGTGGTTGGAACAACTCAGAGATTCACCAATAGCAATTGTTAGGTATCCCATAGTTACTACCAATGTTGACTGTTTTATGGGTTTTTTAAAAAATATCTTTGCCATTTTTAATGTTTCTCATTATATGTATAGGCGCAAAAAGATCATAACAGACTAATCTTAAATCATTTTTGAAGGGACTACTAAAGTGGTGGGTCAGGAGTCAGTGGCATCATGGGTGAACTGCTAGAGAGTTGTCGGGTCAGAAAAACCAGAGCTGAAGTCTTGGCTCTAACATAAACTGATTGTGTGACCCTCACTTAGTCACTTAATCTCACAGTGGGTGAGGCAACTTCCTAAGACCACATATGCTAAAAAAGTTGGAAGTCTTCTTTGGTAGATGTTCCTCACCAATGAAATCACAGGTCCTGACCAGTGTAAAACTGAGTTAGGATATATGTATCATGGCTTCGGGGGGAGGAAATTGCAAGACATTATAGATTTTTCTTCCTCCTGTGCTCTTCCCTTGATCTCTGAGTCCCCAAGTCTCTGAGTTTCTTCCACATTGGGCATGTTTTCAGCTCAATGTCCCATCTATACCTTAAACAATGTTTAATTGGATCCTCATTGATTTGGGTATTTTATATTGCAGATTGAAACCCTCATCTTTGCTAATTTAATGGGAATGAGGTGAAATCTTCAAGTGGTTTTAATTTGCATCAATCAGTTGGATTGCAAGCATTCTAAGGGCACAAATCATCTCCTATACTTTCCTTGCATTCACCTTAGCTCCATCAGTGCTCTTTGATTGTTTGATTGAACCAATGTTTCAATGAATGGTTGATTGAATCACACATCATTTTTGAAAGATCAGTTTACACCCTACCTATGGGCACAGTCACATGATGAAGTGGAAAAAGTAGAGAGATTAAAGAAGAGGAAAGATTTCTATACGTACAAAAATAGCAGCTTTTTTATATGTGTGTATGGTAAAGACCTGGAAACTAAGGGGGTGCCTCTCAACTGGGCAATGGATGAACAAATTGTGCATTTGAATTTGTTGGAATTCTATTGTGCTTTAAGACAAGAGGAAAGAGATGTTTTCAGAGTCTTGGAAAGATTTGAATGAATTGATGAAGAGTGAACAGAACCAGAATAATTTTAACATCAATATTGTAAAAATGAACAATTCTTTAAAACATAAAAACTCTGACCAACTCAATGATCAACCATAATTTCAGAGGACTGATGAAGAAAATGGTGCTGCCCTTATGAAAAAGAAATAATGGACTAATATGCAGAATGAGAAACACCTTTTTAGACATGACGAATGTGGAGATTTATTTTGCTTATGTGATCAAGGAGTTCTAGAATTCTTTCTTTCTATCTTTTTTTCTCCAGTGAATGGGGGGGGGTGAGGTGGGATGAAGGGAAAAAGTGAATGCTTGATATTGTTGATTCATTTCCCTGTACTGCTTTTTTCTCTTTCTTTTAAGATATTTGTTACAAATGATGGCTTGCTGGATAGGGGAGGGAGGAAGGATAATTTTTTTAAAAATATGATATAAAAACAAGATGTATTAATAAAAATAATATTTTTCTTTTTTATTAATTTATTTTGATTTATCAACAATCACTTTCATAGGTTTTTGAGTTTTAAATTTTTCTTCCCCTCCTTCCCTGCCTCCCTCCCCAAGACAGTGTGCTATCCATATACATTCCTATTAAACATATTTTCACATTAGTGATGTTGTAAGGAAGAATTAGAACCAATAGGAGGAACCACCAGAAAGAGGAAACAAAACAAAACAGAAGAAAAAAATAGCAAATAATATGCTTTGATCTGCATTCAAACTCCACAGTTCTTTCTCTGGATGTGGATAGCATTTTCCATCATGAGACCTTTGGAGATGTCTTAGATCCTTGCATTGCTGAGAAGGGCTAAGTCTATCAAAGTTAGTCCATCATACAACATGGCTGTTACTGTGTTCAGCGTTCTCCTGTTTCTGCTCATTTCACTCTGCATCAGTCCATACAAGTTTTTCCAGGAAAAATATTATTTTTAAAAAGAGTACAAGGGGCAGCCAGGTGGTGCAGTGGATAGAGAACCAGCCCTGAAGTCAGGAGGACCTGAGTTCAAATCTGGTCTCAGATCTTGACATTTACTAGCTGTGTGACCCTGGGCAAGTCACTTAACCCCAATTGCCTAAAAATTAAAAAAAAAAGTACAGGAATTATAGGATTATTGAATAAGATCAGGCAGTGACCTCAGAATTCTTCTAGCCCAACACTCCTGTTTTACAGATGAGGAACCTTAGGCCCACACAGACGAAGTGACTTGCCCTCCATCACACAGGTAGTAGAAGGCCTTCAGCTACAGCTATAGCATGCACAGTGCAGTGGCCACACCCCAGTCAGACCATCTCAGCAGACAGGGCTAAACCAGGTTGAGAGTAACCAATGGGCCACATTAGGGAGTTAGGGGGATGCTTACCCCAAGCATGTGAAGACTTCCCCTGGTAGAATGGGCCGATGATAACAACTTGTTCCAATGGCCATGAAGGCAGCTGAAGAGTGCCTAGAGCTTGGTCACACATCAAAGACATCAAGGCCACCCACTGCATCCTGGGCCTTCACCAGTTGTCCTGATTTTTGTCTTTCCATTGGACTTTTGACTCTGAAAGAGAGAGTAAAGCTAATGATTGTGTGCAATTCTGCTTCATTTAAATCCAATTTACATATGAGTCAAGACATTGCCCCATGACATCACTGATCCTCTTCCAAAGGAAGGACAATGACTTATGTTTGAATTCTAATTCTGCTGCTTACTAGCTACTTCCTTTGTAACTGGGCAAGTCAATGTTTTTAAGGACCTCAGTTTCCTCTCTTGTGAAATGAGAGATCATCTTGTGATGATCTCTAAAGTTTCTTTTCTATTTTAAATCAAATGATCACATCATTGCAAAATAGGATTGGGTAGGTGCTCAGGTGTCTAAAAGGAGAGCTATATAAAGCCAATCCACTCAATCAAATTTGTTTTCACAGGTTTAACCCTGCTGTCACTTGTATATGGGAATATTTTCTAAAACCATTTTAAAAATAATATTTAGCATTCATAGACTCTCCTACTTCCAAATAGGATTATAGGTGGTCAGGAGTTTTATTGATATTACAAGATCATCTTCCAAAGCACTTAAGGAAGCACAGATAGGAGCATGAACCCTGAAATGATCATATGCCCACCGAGCCCCCAATTTTTGCTTCCATTTTTCTCTTTTATTCCTTATAGAATAGATACAGGCACAGCTAAGAAACCCAGAATTCCATTATCCAATCCAAACATATTTCTTTCTTTCTCTCTCTCTCCTCTTCTTTTTCTCTCCCTTCCTCCTCTTTTTCTCTACTTCCTCCTTTCTTTCTTTTTCTTTCCTCATTTCTCTTTCTTGCCTCTTCTTTTCTCACATCATTTTCTCTTTCTTTCCCTTCTTTCTCCTCTCTTCTGCTCCCTTCTGCCTCTTCTCTTTCTCTCCTCTCTTCTTCTTTTTCCTTCCTTTCCTATCTTTGTCTTTCCTTCTCCTTCCTTTCTCAAAGTACTTTTCCTCACTTGCTGGAAGTGAGATGGGGACCAACCAACCTTTTCACACTTTTCTAACACTGTGGAATAATAATAATAAAACTGTTACGTGGTACTCGGGTTTAGTCTAATATCCTTTTGGTTTGGTCTTGCCTTTAACAGGGGGAGTCTTCTTGCAGATTAAGAGCCCACTCGAAGACATCTATAAAATCTACTGCTATCACCATGATGAAGCCCATACTATGCTTGAATCCTATGAAAAGGATGAAGAACTGAAACAACATATGAGACACTGTATCCAGTCCTTAAAGTAAGTCCTTTTCAAATGATGATTTCCGTCCACCGTCAGTTGCCTGGCAGGGAACATTTTAAATGGATGTAGATGAAAGGTTTCCCATAAATCCTGTGTTTTATGAAGCTTGCTGGGAGCTCTGCTTTACGTTCTTTTTATGAAAAGCTGACAAGCCAGGGGCCGTGATTACTTTTTTTTTTCTTTTTTAGTTCAAGGGGAGCTAAAAATAACACACAAAAAAGATCCTCTCTTGTTTTCAGGGTCCTGTGGAGATGGAAAAAATGCAATATCAAAAAACAAAATGTAGAAACTACTCCCTTCCTTATAGCCTTTGCTACTTACCTGGTTTTTTTTTGTTTTTTTTTTTAGTATAAAGCACATTATATCTATGTGATAACTCTTGGGTGCTGGGACACCTCCCTTCTTTCTATGTGCTTATCACACTTAATATCCCAGCATATGGCTGGTATGAGAAATATTGCCTACAGACCAGCCAGAATTTATCCCTACTGTTGTTGTTGTTCACTTGGTTCAGTCACGTCTGACTCTTTGTGACCCCATTTGGGGTTTTCTTGGCAAAGATACTAGAGTAGTCTGCTATTTTCTTTTCCAGCTTATTTTTCCAGATGAGGAAACTGAGGCAAACAGGGTGAAGTGACTTGCCCAGGGTCACACACCCAGTAAGGTTTCTGAGACCAGATTTAAACTCAGGTCTTCCTGACTCCAAGCCTGGTACTCTACCCACTGCCCCACCTAGCTGCCCCCTACACTAGTGATAAACTACTTTTAAAAACTCCCTTCTAGACCCAGTCTGATCCTCCTGGTCAAGAAATAGCAGACATCAAAAGCTCCTCCTATTGATCATTAAGTGCTTACATTTCTCCCTACTTATTACTCAAACAATGATAGTCATTTTTTTTAGCACTAGTTATCATTTTATTGAGTTACTTATTCCATCAAACAACATTGCAATCTATTTAACTCTTCAGTTCCCTATCAGAATGGATTAAAAAACACTTAAGAAACCCAGAATTCCACTTGATCCTCACAACTAATTTGTTATCGCAGTTATATCTGTCTGTCTCTCCCCACTCCAGTCCATCTTCTGCTTAGCCGTCAAATTGATCACCCTACAACAGGGGCCTGACCATTTCATTCCCCTTTTCAACAAACTCCAATGCCTCCCTATCACCCCCAGGACATGTTATCCAGCTTCTTCTTGAATGCCTTTGGGGTAGACAATTCATGGAACTAGTGAATCAGAGGATTAAATATCCAGAGCTGAAAAAGGCTAATTCACTAACTTTGCAGGGCATCTGTTTTTAAACAGCTCTAACTGTTAAGTTAGAACTTAGAAGAAGGTGTTTATGGTCAAAAGATCCTGCTAGGTTCGAGTCCTACCTCTGACATATAAATTTGCAACCATGAGCAAGTATTTCCATCTGCAAAATGGGGGTAATAATACTTGTACTACTTATCTCATAGACTCCTGAGGAAAGAAGTTGGTAAACACTAAAGCACTGTATAAATAAGGTTATTATTATTTTTGTGAAACCTGCCTCCTTATAACTTTCACCCATTGATCTTAGTTTTGTTCTTGCCATTGAATGGATAAACCTCAGCCCTCTTTCATACAGACTCACAGAATCTCAGAATGCTGTGAATTCTAATGATAATTCTGTGGAAGGGAATTCAGAGATCATGCAGCCCGACCCATACTGAAAGAAGGAACCTCTTCCATGCCTTACGTCTTCTCCAAGTTAAACATTCCCAGTACCTTCTATTGGTCCTCAGATAGATGCTTTTTAATGTTTTCATTATTTTGGTCATCTTTTTCTAAACATGCTTCTGGTTTGTCAATATCTTTCCTAAAAACAGAACCCCTCACTAAAGGTGTTCTAATCAGGGAATCATACAGCAGGAATATCATCTCCCAGGCTCTAGAGGTTATGACAGCCCCTCCACTCAAATACATCAAGATGTTATTATGCCTTCTCTTCCTCCCCCTTCCTTCCCGAGCGTTCTCTTCTTTAGACTAAATAACCCTAGTACTTTCAACTCGTTCTCACAAGGTGTGGTTTTAAGTCCTATCACCACCACCATCCTTTTTTGTATTTTTTTAATTTTAAACATAAATACAAAAAAAGAAAAAAAGAAACAAACATAAATACTAAAACTTATATACAAAATAAGAAAAGAAAGGAAAAAAAGCATTACCATGTGCACAGCAGAACATAAGAGGATTCAAAATATAAAGCAATAAATTTCCATTTCAAGAAAGCCTATATAATAAACACTATACATTGTGTTCAGAGCAATCCATCTTTTCTTTATTTCCTTGTAGGTTTTATTTTGTTCTGTGCTGTGCACTTTTTATTTGGTTCTTTTTTTCCCCTTCCTCCCCCCTCCCCCAAGAAGGCTACAATTGAGCACGGATATGTGTGTGTGTGTGTGTGTGTGTGTGTACATATGTATACACACACTTTTGTATATATGTACATTCATGTATATAAACATATAGACATACATATATATGCTTGTATAACATACATATCACATAGATATCTATAATCCTACACATATAGGTTCATATGCATCTATGTAAGACCATACTATACTTGTTGGTGCTTTGTTTCTCTGAAGGTGGATACATTTTTCTCTCATCATTCCCTACACCACAACAATATTCCAACCTTACACTTTTATTTTAAATAGTCTAAAACAATATTGATTAATACAGCTGACATATAGTGTAGTTTCCCTATTTTCCTCTTTTGATCAAATCTATTTTAGCTTTAACTTTGTCTCAGATCATGATTACTACCCCTAATTTTTTTCCCTAATAAATTCTACTCCTGGTCTTTATTTTATGTTTGTGTGTATCTCTTATTTCCTATCCTTCTTAACTCCTCAACTTTACTTCTACCCACTACCTTGCCCTCATATTACTTAACCCCCTCCAAGGATCCCTCCCTCATCCTCTCTCTCCCACCCTTTCCCCTTGTCCTCTAGTTTCTATCTGAATTTAGAAGACTTTTATAGCCTTCCAAATATATGTGAGTGTGTGTGTGTGTTGTTCCCTCTTCATCCCATTTCCATTAACCTAGACACTCTTCTGTATCTCCTATTCAATCATGTGCTTATTTCCTTATTTAGAAGATTTTTTCTCCTTCTAAATGTATATGTTGTTCTCTCTTTAACCCAAATCTGATGTGAGCAGAGTTCCCTCTAACAATGCACCCCCCTCCCCATCCCCTTAGCTTTTTATTTCTTTCTGAATATAGAAGACTTTTATACCCTTCTATTATGTATGTATCGTTCCCTCTTTCACCCATTCCTGATGAGAGTAGAGTCCCAGAACTACCAGCCTCCTCCATCTAATTCCTCTGTGTCGGTTCTCCCTCTCACCTCATTTGTATAAGATAATTATTCTTTTTCACCACCCTTTCTTTAATCAGTTACTCTAAGAGAGGGAATTCACAAAGTGAGCAGGGTGACTAGTACCTCGCAACCTCATCCCTGCTGATCATTATCGCTGCAGGCCAATTAAGAGAGTAGACTACCTATCCCATTTATAGACTAGAAGTAGGATAGTTAGTCTACTCTATTTGTGTTTCTAGGGGTAACCTAGAAATGGGGGAAGGGAACATTTATTAAGTTCTTGCTATGTACCAGAAACTGCGCTAAATACTTTAAAAATATTATTTCATTTTACCCTTGCAACAACCCTGGAAGGTAGGTGCCATTATTACCCTCATTTTGCAGATGAGGAAACTGAGGCAGATAGATATTAAGTGAATTGCCAAGAGTAACACACCTAGCTGCCTGCATGGACTATTTTTTTGGAGAGAAAAAGAAAATAGCTCAATTGGGTATATAAACCAGTATTTTTGACTCTTAAGAGACTATCCTGCTAGAATAGAATATTAGACAATACAGTCCAATATCTTGACCTCGGTGGCAGTTAAAATTTTAGTTGACCATAAGACCCCTTTGAGTCTGTGTATGTCACTGAAGATTAAATTCAGATCTGATGACTTTTCTGGTCATTTTCAGGGAGCGTGAAAATGATTGCTCTAGAGATTGCCAAGAATCTCAGCTATCTAGCTAGCATCATTTCTGATTCCAAGCAGTGATTTCTAATGTGGGAAAGCAGGCCATTCTACATCTGCAAGATCAGCAAAAAAAGTTTATTGGGAAGGAAAATGTTTTCAAAACAAAGCAACTTGCATGAAAGATATTTTTCCCAAAGCATTCTTTGCATGAAAATAGAGCTCTTGATAAGTGATACTAGCTTGTCCAAAGGCTGAGTGCAGTGTGCCTTTTGTCATTACAAACACTGACCTTGATTAAGTTGAACTCCAAGTTTTGAGAAACTGGTTTTACAAACAGGTTTATAGGAAGCAACAGGCCTGGTGCAGCCCAAGGGGATGGTTCCTCTTGCCAGCTAATCAGCCACAACTATTACATCCTTCTGGCTTTTCCTAACAGCCAAATAAAGCAGAGGTCACTATTGCTAATTGCTAATCAGTGTTAGATCCAGCCTTAGTTTTCAGCACTGCACCAAGATTGGTGAAACAACATGAATTGAAGTGATGTGCGGGAAGGAGTTAAGTGCTAGATTTTCAAGAAACCCAGGCCCCATTCCAATCAATCAAATATTTCTTGAGCATATCCTAAATGTAAGGCCCAGTAACAATGGGAATTTGAAGATATATAAGACATAAGCTGATAATCTGCTTGGGAAAACCAAGCACAAACTGGTGAAAAGTTCAAAAACACTGACTAAGGAATCACATTAAATTAGTAAGTGAATGGCATTTTTTGTTGTTCAGTTATTTTCAGTCATGCCCGACTCTTTGTGACCCTGTTTAGAGTCTTCTTGGCAAAGATACTGGAGGGGTTTGCCATTTCCTTCTCCAGCTTATTTTACAGATGAGAAAACTGAGGCAATAATGTTAAGAGACTTGCCCAGGCTCAGCTAGTAAGTGTGTGAGGCCAGATTTGAACTCAGAAAG